TCATTTTACTCTGCCACTGGGGAGGATAAAGTAGCTTCCTTTTAAAACCAGCAATCATGTGATGAACCCCAAGCTAGAAGCTGGGTGGCCCCAATAAGTGATTTCTGTAGGCCTGATCTCTTCTTTGATGAAATGCATGCTTGGCTTCCTTCCTTTCCTGGGCTGATCTGTGGGTTGATAGTTGACCTAGGGTCACTTGAGAGCATTTACATTTGTGAGAACTCATTTTCATATTTTTTCTCTCCTTCCTCTTTGTGTGTGTGTGTGTGTGTGTGTGTGTGTGTGTGTGTGTGTGTGTGTGTATGATGGGATGTCATAAAACTGTTCAGAGGAGGACACAGAATGAAACCCACAAGCAACTTTGGATAGAGCCTTCTAGTCAGTTCTTGTCTACGTTCCTTACTGACTCGCTGTTTTGGCAGAGGCTAACCCTGCAGGAGCCTTGGGCTGTTCCCCTGGCCAGCCCAGCTCAGCTCTGGGCTGTGGGTCTAGGGAAGAGATTCTGTTCTTCAGAAAGTCTGGAGGCAGCACTGGCCATCTGCTGTGAATTAGAGCGTCCACTTAGCATCGCACTTGCTCTGTTCAGTAGGATTTAGGACTGAGGACTTGTGGACTTCCTTTGGGTTGTCATGTGCCTTGCCTAGAGTATGAGAGTCCTCTAGTACCTTAGGCCTTCACCTATGTAGTCAGCTGGTCTGTGGCTCCAGCTTTAGCTTTCCCTGCTCAGGGAGTGTAGATGATTTCCTGACTTGACTTTCTTCAGTCTTCAGTCAAGTGGAGGATGAACATTTGGTTTGAAGCTCATGCTTTGTTAAAGCCCTCAGCCACCTTTGGCAGCTGAAACTGCATGTGGACCTTACACATACAAACAATTGGCTGAAGGAAAGATAACTTTGATTAAACTGAGTTACTATTCTCCTGCTCCCTACCCCTTTTATTTGCATGGAATCTCCAGAAAATGTCCTCTGGATAATGTGTGAACCCTAGGGAGTTTTGTTGTGCCCTTGGAAAGTACAGCAGGAGAAGCCTGCTGTGTGGCCTGGGATTCTATTAACACCAGCCTCTTACTGTGTTCTGTGTCAGGTGCTCCACACAGGTGTCAGGTGCTGTATTCAGTCCTACAAGTGTTTGGGGATACCTGGGTCCTTGCCCTGAGTCCCTGCAAAGGCCCGGCCTCAGAGAAATGCACTTTGTTCCATGTACCTGATGTCACGCAGGAAGGAAGTGGTGAGGCCTCTGGTCCAGCCCAGTACTCAGCAAAGCCCGTCTGCTTAAATTCTGAGTTGTACTGCCTCCCTGTGATGTATATCTCTTTCTACCTAATCTTGATATCCAGGTTTGCCCTGGACTTTGGTTCTTTGAACTGTCATCCCTACCTGCTACCTCTAATGCCCCCAACATTTGGCTGTTGAGGTGCTCCCAGCTCAGGAACATGTAACATGAAGCAAAAGGTAGCAACAGTGTTTTCTGGAATCCCTTGTATGGCTTTCGCCGCTATGACGTCACCTGTTTCACAATTACCTCAGGTAAACATTACCCCTTTCTCAGTGTCCTCATCAACCCCAAGCTCCTCTTCATTTTCTTTTCCCTCAACATCCCATCTGTTTCTCCAGGCATATCCTCCAGGAAGGAGGTCACTCAAATGGTCTGGTGGTCCCTAGTAAGGGTGTCGTCCTCGGTCTATACCTTTTCAGCAGGGAGACTTGATGCCAGGCTGCTTCTGCACCAATATCAGAATGGAGGCTCCTAAGTGCCTCTCGGGGACCTGTGGGCAGCCTAGACACCCAGAGCAACTGTGGACAACCCAAGAAATAGCTTATTTGAGAAATCTTGCACCCATTCTGAAGCTTGGGTTAGCACTTATCACCCATTGCCTTGGTGGCAGGAGCTTGATGGCTTCCTATCACTGTGTTCCCCCATCAGTATATAGATTAATGAGAGCAGGATGCTTATCCTGGAGCACCTTGGGGTCAACAGTTAGAAAACTCAGCAAAGAAATTAGGATCAGAGTGGGATGTCAAGCTGTGACGTGTTCTGTCAAAGGGCAACCCGATGGCAGCACACAAGCTAGAATGCCCCTGAGAATTACCCTGCATTGTGATGAGGGTTGATCAGTGACTAACTATGTGGTCTTGCCTGGAAAAGGTCACTGTGTTCAGCTATGGCTATCTCCAAAGAAGCTGACAGCTGAGTGTCTGGTACATGCACTTTCAGCAACTGTTTGAAATGATGACTGGGTGGGCAAATATCTGCTTTATTCCCCATTATATCCTTAGTACCCAGCACATAACAAGCACTCAGTATTTAGGGGATGGAATTGCCTAAGCTTTATGGAAGCACTGTGGGTAATTCATTCAGGAAGTGTTTACTATTTGGGCAATGATCTACTGAGTTCCTTTTACTTGTCAAGCACTGTGACTACAGCTATGGGGTTTACAATCTAGGGTTTTGAGGTAGGCGGTGGTTCAATCTTGGCTTCCTGGAAGAGGCAGCCTTCACTCTGGGGGTGCGACTTCCTGAACCATGGGCTTCAGGCCAACGCTGGGCGCAGTCTTTCCTTGGCTTTCTAGAAGACAGTTTATAGAGACGAGGGGGAGATGAATGGGTAAGTTATGTGTCTCAGGGAAGGGAATCTCCATCACAGTCCACCTGGCAGTGCACCTGTGCATCATGGGAAACTCCCTGCTAAACTTATATTCACTGTTGTTTGAACCCCAGTAGCCTGGAACTTCCCCAGGGGTCCCATTGGCTTAGTGACTTTCCATCACTTGAGTAATTGGAGAATGGAACTAGATGGAAATAATCTATACACATTTCTTTAGTGAGTCACCAAAAACTACAGCCCCAGGGTATTTGCAACTGCTTAGTTTCTTTTTCCTATATGTAAATGAACTGTCATTACAGTTCAGTAAGTTGAGATTCTATACAATGCACTTGAGATGAGATCAGTAATTTTCATACCTGAAAGAGACCTAGAGATAGCCTAAGCCAACTGCCTCCCTTTGCAAGAAGGGCTTGAAGAGGTGCAGGACCTGTGTTTCTTTGGGAAGTATTTATTGGTACAGTCTGCCCCTTTTTCTAGCTGCTCACTTCTGTCCAGACATATCAGGAAGGAGCTGCTGCCTAGTGTGGGGTGGGTTGTTTTTATCTACACAGGTCACCCAGGTGATCAGAAAGGCTTTTACGGAAAGCAATGGCTTTGATGTTCTGGGTGACAAGCCCAAACATGCTTGGCAGGAAGGGAGGTTTTGGGGTTGGAGAAACGAAACTCTTTACTTTTGGTGGTGACTTCATCACTTAACACCTCTATGATGGGAGAGTGATTGCAAGGGAAAGTTGAATGCAAGTGTTGGTACAAAAAGGAAAGTTTGAGGTGGACAACCAGGAGTTGATGTGGGGCTAATAGCTCAGAGAGACCTCTGGCACCATCGATCTTCCAGGAGCTTTCTTCCTCCCGTACTTACCAGTGAGTGTTGTGCAGCGCCTTGCAAGTGTATTTATGCCGGTTATCTCCTCCATCCCTCAGTGAAGTGGAGCCACTAAACCATGGTGCCTCCCACCTGTGCATCTGACTGAGGGAGCTTGACTTGGAACCCAGGGGTCTCACACAGAAAAATCGCCTTTCTTCATAGGACCACGGTGATCCTTCCTGTCCTTTGGAGGAAGTACTGGCTTTCAGAGTCCATCTTCTAGAACTAGACCACCTCCTGTACCTCCTAGTCTCTCTCCTCGGTATAAACCTGGGGCACTGTTCTTGAGTCTTATGGGCCTTGGTTTCTTAAGCTATAAAATAGGGATGATAACCGTCCCTTTCCCTCTCTTAAAGTTGCTGTCTAGAAGAAAACACTCAATGCTGCCCAAGTTGAACTGTTGAAAGCTGGCTTCTACAAGCTGTGCTGGAGTATTGAGGACATTTGAAGCCACCATATAGTGATCAAGTCTTTAGGCATAATTCATGGCACTATTTTAATCATTTGGAGAACCAGGCATGTTCGACTCATGGCCCATGGACTGTATGCATCCCAGTACACCTATGAATGTGATCCAACACATTTGTCGATGACAGTGTCGTGTCATAATATCAAAAGGTTGGCACCCCTGTAAAATTTAGGTCACCCAGATTCTGAAAACAGAAGGATGCACAATGATTGACAGCTGTGTACCAGGGAAGAAGCATGGTGCAGCATGGGATTGCTCATTACTTCATGCTAAGAATTATCTCATACAGTAACTGAGATAATGTCTTTTCCTCTTTTGTATTTAAATTGAGCAAAATGAAACAATTATTTTGAATAAGTGTCTTTTTGAATAGATTGAATAACAATCTATTTTCTGTTGCTATGACAGAATATTTGAGACTCAGTAATTATAAAGGAAAGAGGTTTATTTAGGCTTATATTTCTGGGTGTTGAGCTGTCCATGATTGGGCCACCTCATCTGATGAGGTCTCCCACTGCCTCATCACATGGCAGAAGTCAGAAAGGCAAGCAGGCGCATGCGTGCACATGGAAGATGCAGGGGCAGCCTCACTTTCAACAATTCACACACTTGGTAACTAATCTAGTGCTGGGAGAGCAAAACTCACTTATTGTGAGAATTAACCCAGTTCACTAAGTCTGCTAGACAGTAGAAACAAGGGAATGACGGCAATTAGATGCCGAGAATAACAGTGTTTGTCCGGCTCCTGCTGTGAGCCAGACACTGTGTTAACTTATGCACACACTGAGGTTTAACTCACATCCAAGAAGGTGGCTGCTCTTTCTGTCCTTGAATACAGGTGGGACCAAGGAGGTTAAGATGACACAGTGACAGGTTCACAGTGACACAGTTGCTAACCGATGAGTGCTGATTTCAACCCTGGAAGCCAGTGACCTGAGACAGTTCCTGTTGCTTTCATGCTCAGCCAAGCTGGATTTCCTAGAATTCAGCTAGGATCGGTGTCAGATTTGGCTGCCTTTCCTGAAGAACCCAGGACTATCTGTATTTGTGATATTTTCTAGGGTGACTACAGGGGACAAACACCTTCCAATGCCATGCCTGTACTGAGGAGCTTCTTAGGAGAGTGGTTCACCGCTGGCCATCCTTGGTTGCTGGAGATGCCCCACTTCGCCATCATGGTCCGTCTGCAGTGGAAGGATGGTGTCTGGATGGTTTCCAGGTCAGAAATCCACCTGTGGTCACTTATTTTCCAGCTGGCTCACTGTTTCCTGCCAAGTGTATAAGACCTGCTGTCCATGGCTGGCTAGTTGTGGCTACCATCTGTGCACCCAGCACAGCCCGAGCAAGTGTCCAGGTGGCCTTCAAGGCCAGCTGCCCCAGATGACGAGGCTGCATTGTCAGCAGCAGAGCTGGTGTGTCTATGATTCAACGGACTGTGTCCAGGTCTCCAACCTTAACAATCGAGATCTGCCTTGCCAGGGTACCACCTATCCTGGACCCTGTGCACCTCCCCTTTCGCTACAGAGAAGATAACGAAGAGTGGAGGACCTGGGCCCTGGAACATACTTAAAATTCCACTGCAGATTCAGGAAGAAGAACCAAGGGGCTGGGATCAGGCTCGTCCTCTGCCTCTTCACCTCCTGAGAGTCTTGGGTGGCCTAGATCTACTTTTTACAGGTACCGAGGCTCCCCAGAAAAGACAGCATAGCCTTGGGTGCCACAGTAAACTTTTGCAATCCTGGGAGAACTAGGGAAATATTGCCAGCATCCTTAGTGGACCCGTGACTTGTTTGGCCAGGTCAAGTGACGGGAAATAGGCTAATGTCCTGTCCTTGGGGACACTGTTAGAATGTTAGAGGGGAGATGGTAAGACAGTTGAGGCAGCTTAGCATGCTGGGTGCTGGGCCTCACTCGCCACCCCTCCTCTCTCTCCTGCTGGGGTTGCCGGATGGATTTCAGATTAGTGCCCTCAAAATGGACAGGTGAGTCCTATCACCTTGTGTGCGTATTTGTATTCCGGCTCATCTCTGTGGGGGCATGTGATCTACAGGTTCTATGGAGGTGAGACTGCGACCTTCCTACTCTGCACCCTGAGATTCCAAGCCCCCAGCACCCCATTCCTACCTCACACTGTACCTGCAGCTCCTGGGAGAAACTTAGAAATTTTAGTTCCTTAGTTTTCACAGAACATTGCTCCTTGTATGTGGTTATAAACATTAATTAAAAGCATTCATCGGTTTGGCTGTCTTGGAAAGAGGTCCTGTTTTGTTTCAACAGGAACTAGTGTGCTGTGTTATTACTGTTTTCTTGACCCTCATTACCAACAGAACAGGGATCCTACTTGCAACACAATGATTCATCCATACTTATGTATTGTTTGGCGTTGGGTGGCCTCCTTCGAGTGCTGCCTCAGTTTGTCCAACCAGCACCATGGGGAGGTGGGTACTGTTGTCACTGATCCCATTTCAAAGATGAGTAAACCAGGTCTTCAGCAGCCGAGGACCCTTGCCTTCAGCGTTAGGAGGCTTACATGTGTTCCTTTGGCCCATGAGCCGATTCGCTGATTCCCTTCCCTTCCCTGAGTACTTATGATCCGGTAGGAAAAGGCAGACCTTTTACGCTTTCATCCTGTCAGGACATGACTAAGCAGTTAAGTCTGAAGTATTGGTTTAAGTGGCACTAATAATAGCTGACATGTCTGAGTGCTTTGACTGCCGTGCTCTAAGACTCATTTTACACCAAGAACACACCTTGGAGACAAGACACGGAGCCTCAAAAAACTGAAGTTCTTGCTGAGGCTCCTAAGAAGACTTGCAAAGTAGTAGTGCTACAGCCCCGTGCACGGTCTGTTCAAAGCCCCTGGACAGCCAGGAAGCTGTGCTGCTGCCCTTTTGGGGTCACAAAGTGTTTGCGTTTTGACAGTAAGGCCAAAAGTGCTTTCCTGGTAATGCCCATGATGCGTGGGTGGCTGCTCGCCGGGTGCAGAGGTGCTGGGGACAGGAGGGCGTCTTTCCGAGTACAGCCCTAGTCAGCAGGACCTTCTCAGGAGGAGGAGGGGACTTCACCTCCAGCTACTAGGAACTGGACTCTGAGCACTGAATGGACTAAACCAGCACTGTGGGGGGAGGTGAGAACTCATTCAGCCTTGCAAAGTTGGTGGACTGCCTTGATGCTAGCACATTAAAGGGGAGAATATGACACCCAGAGAGCTTCAGACAAACAAATTATGGCCTCATTCCACCAGAGGAGAGAGTGGCAATTCATTAGGAGGAATACAAGACATGTGCCCTTGGCTCCCCAGCTGTGTGGTAAGTGCAGTTGTCCAGCTGCTCCTAGAGTCGAGGGCAAATTCCCCATGGAACTTTCCAGTGTCCTTTACTGCTGAATCAGTGCTGACTCAGCCCCTATCTCATTAGTGTCCTGATTGCCAATATCCTGGGTGGTTTGCAGGGAGGTATGAAGGAGGTCTGCAAGGAAGGGGTACCCCAGGGCACATATACAATGCATATGTCATCATTCCTGGAAAGGGAGACAAAGGCATGTCTGAGTCTACCAGGCTGTGCTTTGGGGTGTGGGGGTAGCTTATGGAGTTCCACCCCAGCTCATGGGACCCAGGACTTCCATGCCTCACTCACTACACCTCTCTGCCCTTTTGGCCACATCCAAAAGTGGTCTTAATGGTAATTTAGGATAAGACTCTTTTTAGTGGGTGTTTTGTTTCCTGAGTAATGCCCATGAATCACATACTACTGGATAGTGGTGAGCTTTGATAACACTTAGAGCCAGTTACTCTCATGCAGCTTTCATGGATGGCCCACACCACCTCACTGTGCACAGAATGGGCTGGACGCTAGAAGACAGGTCATTTTCAGAATGAGGATATGTTTCTTATTTCTCAGTGTCTAAAATTCTTAGAATCAGATGAATGAACAAGCTCTCATAGGGCAGGGGAACATGATGGGTAGGGGCATGGTGATCAGGAAGATCAGCTGTGAGCTGGGGTCCTGGCTGCTTGTGTGACTTAGAAAACACAGGATATCAAAGCCAACCTTACAGGAATTAAATGCCTAACACAGGCTTGGCATGTAAGAATTGCTCAATAAAAAACAAAATTAAAATAAAAAATACAAAGGACTGGTGAGATGATCCAGTGGCTAAAGGCATATGCTGACAACCCAGGTTTAATCCACAGAACCATAATGGCAGGAGAGAACCAATTCCTGCATGTTGACTTGTGAGCGCTACCTATATGCCATGGTGCACGGATGGCCAGGCATCGATAGCTGCCAAAGTAAATGAATATGGAAAGAAATAATGGGTCCACAATGTGTTTTCTGGCATTTCTCATTTGGAATATTAAAACTATATAGGCTTGTGTGTTTGTTTCTTTTTTTGACCCAAACTTGATATGTAGCTTTGGCTATCCTTACTATGTGGCCTAGGCCAGCCTCATGTTCCCAGCAATTCTCCTGCATTTGTCTCCCAAGTGTGGGATTACAGGCATGTGTGGCCGGCCACATCTGACTTAGTTTTTCTTTTTCTTCTTCTTTGAAAAAAAATTTTTTTTGTATTTATTTATTTACTTATTTACTTTGTGCATGTATGTATCTGTCTTTCTATATGTGTGGGCAGGTGTGCAGAGATCAGAGATGAGAATCAGTTCTCTTTTTCTCCCATCGGTTCCTGGGGATTGAACTCGGGTTCTCTGGCATGGCAGCAAGTGCCTCTACCTACTGAGCCATCTCATCAACCCTTAGTTTTTGTTTTTCAAATGCGTGAAACATCTCACTACCAAATCCACTCAGTATTGATATTAAGAATTCTCTTTCCTTTTCTTACATATTCTAGTGTCCTGTTACACCTGGGATATATGTGCTTTTAACCCAAAACAAAAGTATGCATCTGTTCAGCCCTCCAGAAGACTTTGAGAACCATCTTTTCCTGAACTCTAGCTGGATTGTTTGAGGAACTGGAAAACTGAGGTACGTGGGGAAGACTTCTCCTGAGACTGTGGAAGCAACATACAGCTTTGGGAATTGATGGCTCTCTGGCTGGACTTGGGGTATGAATCCTGAATACTCCACCTATCTTCCCTGGCATTCCAAAGTGCTTGAGAAGTTGTTTCCCGGGGAACACCCTGACCTCCTCAGCCTTCTTCCTCTCGCCACCCAGCATGCACTCCCTGCTCCTACCTGAGGGAGAACCCGTTGTTTCTTAGGAGGATCGATGGTTGCGCTTTGAGGTGAGGAGATCACACCGGGAGAGGAACAGAAGGTGGGATGGGGTCCTATGATGAGGTACTGAGGCCAGAACACATTCTGGGTACCCAGGCTGTGAGCTCTTCCTTTCTGCCCAGCCTGATCTGTGTTTCCTCCTCTCCCTCCATCATGTGCTTCAGGCACACTAAGTCTGCAGCTTTCCTGGTGAAGGTAGGAAGTGAGGCCCAAGGCCTTCCAGCACACCTGGGCTTTCCTGTTATACCTGTCTCCCCTTGAGAAACTCACTGAGCCTCACCGAGCGTAGGACTCTTCTTGGTAGACTAGGCATCGTGTGGGTTTCTTCCTACCATGGTGCCGTGGGTGTTGAATGAAATATCAGAGATGCAGAGCTTAGCGGGCTGTCTGTTGTGCTACAGGAAATGCCTCAAGAAGAGAAGAGGGTTTTTTTCCTTGATTAATGCCTTAACATTTATCAATGACACCATTTAGGGTGTCTTTTATATGTCAGAACCCTTTGAAGTCTTTGCTGTGCCCTGCTCTCCGTGTTGCCACCAAGCCTGTGTGGGCCATAGCTTATGAATTCTTGGTGTCAAGCAGAACTGATTGCTCCCTGTGCTGGACCACTGTGGGCAGTTTAAGGCAGGGACTGTCACACTGTGGCTTCTGCATTGGGCATAGCTTCTATTCTCCCCCCTGCCGCTCTTCATAATGGAGAACTTGTTTAGAGTGAGCATGATCTGACATCCCATTGCTGGCTTGGTGCCTGGGTCAAAGCCAGGCTGCTCAGTGGGCATGGGGAAATTTGAACCAATGAATGACTAGTGTGGTGCTGGTGAAAGGGGAGGAATTTCCCTAGAATTTAGTTGCTGAAAGTAGGAAGATAGAGCAGTGTAGGAATTCTGGGGTCACAGTCCTCAGTGTGTCCTGAGGCAGTGCTGTCTGTGCTGGAGCCCCCTGGAGCCCACATTAGGACTCATATGTATGGTTCTGTTTGTGCTGATGTCATACCAGGAGTCTTCTGGCCATGCTCTCCCTTCACTGGGACAGCCATACCTTTTCCACCCGTGAGTGGGGCCTCTGTGCTCTGTTCTTGTGGTGGAAGAGCAGTACCAGGACCGTGGAATCAGACACACCTGGATGGCACCCCACTGCCTGTGTGAGCCTGGAAAGTCTTCTACTCTCCTAACCTTTCTCTCAGGGCCCACTGGGGATCAGACCGCCATGAAGATCGCAAACCTTGCCTGGTGGAAATGGCTGTGAATAGGAGCCCTGTTCTTTGGAACTTCTTCCACCCCCTTCCCTAGCTGGCTCTTGACCTTCTCTGTCTTGCTCCCTCTCACTCCAGGTGCAACCTTGGACAGATGACAAGAGGGGCCCTTTCCCTTCTGGCTGGTGCTGTGGTTTGAACATGTCCCCCAAAAGTTCACGTGTTAGAATATCAAGTGCACAGTGTGCAGTGTTGCAAAGTGGGGTAGTGGGTGGTGTTTTGGGTACTAGAGCTGAAACACTCATGAATGCTCACATTTTTAAAGGAATGGGTTACCTATTGTGGCAGTTGAACCCTCTTTCTCCTACTGTATGAACTTCCCTTCCTGTCCTGAGACACTCATCAGAAGCTGCCTAGATATAGTTGCAGTCTTGTACTTTCTAGCCTCTAGAACCATGATACAAAATGAACCTCTTTTATTAATAAAGTACATGCACTCATATATTGTGTTATAACAATGGAAAATAGACAAAGAGAGCTGACTTTTCCTTTTTGAGCCTCCCCTTGCCCTTTGGGTTTCTCCCCATTTTCTCTTCCCCTGGCCACTCTTTTTCTTCTTGTTGTTGTTATTTTAATTAAGTTCATTATTTGAAAATTAGCCTATATTCTTTTTTTGAGAATTTCATACATGAGTACTATGTCTACCTCATATCTACACTCCTCTCTCCTCTTCCTAACTCTTCCTACATCCCTCTACTGCCTCTCAATTCAGTGACCTTTTCTTTAATTATTATTGCTACATGTATGCGTGTGTGTGTGTGTGTGTGTGTGTGTGTGTGTGTGTGTGTGTGTGTACAATCTACTGAGTCTATTTAATGGTCTTGTTTAAGCACCCACATTGTTGAGATGTCTTGGATATAGCTTCCCTGTCATGTCTAGGAGACACTACCTTGCAGCAGGTGTCCCAGTCTTCTGGCTGTGCTTGGTTCTAAGCCTACTACTCCCTCATTGGTCTCCTCCAGCCCTAGTAACAGGGCTTCAGTGGTACCTGCCTTCCTGTCTGTGGACATGAGCCAACACTGGTACATGTGTAAAGATTGTTTCCTGTATTCAGTGATCACAGTAGTAAAAGAACTGCTGGCCTGCTTGGAGCTCTTGAAACAGAAACTCTTTTCAAAATACCTTGTGTTGGCCCATTTCTCTATTACTGTTTCTTGTGGTTTCATACTGAGGTTTTTTCGTGCATTGCATTTGACCTGAAGTATATTTTTAGTTCTAAAGACGGAGTTCAATGAACGTCAAACCAAGAAGGTAAATGCAGAGGAGGGATTCATAAGTCTAGAGGAAAATATGCCTAATTTTATTTCTTCTGATGACATCTGTCCCCAAGCACGCTGACCGCACGCTTTCCTCAGTGGCGCCTGCACTGGGCTCTGCAGAAGTGGGTGTAGCAGCTGAGCGTGCCCCGAAGACAAGAGCAGTTGTGGGTCTCAGTCCAGCTTACCTAGCAGCTGACCACACAGAGGGACATACAGCTCAGCTAGCCCTATGGTGGGAAGTGTTATCAGAGTCAAGGCCAAGCTGTAGAGTCTCCAGGACTCACTGCCTCCCCCTATGGGCTTTGTTCTTATGGCAGAAATAGGACCCACTTCCTGGGTAATCAGCCTCTTCCCTGGGTGGTGCATGTTTGGCGGAAGGCTCTGGGTCTTGTCTCATTGACCTGAGTCTTTGGCATCAATACAAGCTCAAAGGCTATGCTTGGGGAATGTGCTCTTGGGTGGACTGAATTTTAGGATGCTGATTTTGGTCTCGAAAGTGAAGATGATGCCAAGGCTTCCTCCAGGGGCTTCCCTGTCTGCTTTGAGAGATAAAACAAGCAAGCCTTGCCATCTGCTTGGGACTTTACAGTTCATAAAGTTCTTTCCGTTCCGTCTGCTTTCTTTTATTGCACAAGTATTTACTTTTATTACTCTGTATTTACTGAGATTCTGCAGCTTGCCACTGTGCAGGGTGCCTGGGATACGGAGGAAGAGTGGTTGTCCCTACTCTGAGGGAATTCCTATCGTTTTATAATGAAGAAGCTGGAGTTTAGGGGAGATTGCCTGGCCTGAAATCCCATGGCTAGTTGTGATGGCTTTCATATAAGGCTACAGAGATTCCACATCTAGCTCTTGAATCTGATAAGCCCTGCCTGATGCCCAGCCTGTCTCCTGCCTTCTGCGGCAGCTATGTGCCCCCTCTGCTCCCTGCCCCTTCCCCTCCATGCCCCGCCCCCGTGTCACCTCCACTCCCTGCCACCTTCTCTCCCTTCTGCCCCGCCTTCTACCCCCAAGTCTGTTTCTTCTGAGAATGGACATCTTTCTGTCTACAGTGCTTTGGTGGAAAGTGTTCTGATCTTTCAGGACCAGACTTGGGTCTTGCCCACCATGGAGTCTGTTTGATTTCCCCTGAGAGCAAGGCCTCCCCTTCTACTCTGTCCATCAGTACCTTTCCTGGTGACTGATGGCATGTTCTAATTCCCTCCCTTCCTTCCTCTTTGTCTTCATCCAACTTTCTACCATGAGTCAAGTGCTACAGCAGGCTGAGGTGCTAACAGTAGATAAACTATTACCTATCATTAAAGCATACTGGGAGTATTAGGATTCCCTGAAGAAACAGAACTAATGGAAGATGAAGGCAGACACATATCTATGTGTCTATATGGAGAAGAATTGATTTTTTTCATAAAGCATTGACTTGTGTCATAGAGGTTGTGAATTTGAGTGCTTGCTATGAGTATCTGGAAACTAAGGAAGCCACAGGGACAGCTGGAGAGACAGAATTCTGTAAGGCAAAGGGCAGAAGAATGTCTCATTCAGGTTGAGAAGGAATTCAGCCCACTCCACCTTCCCCTTATTCAGCTAGTCAACAGAGTTCTGAGCCTCCGTAAGCTGGATGGTATCCACCCACATTGGTGCAAGCCACGGGATTCACTCAGCCTTCTTCCTGGTAAAAATCTCATCTGGAAACAGTCTCACAGACCCTTCCAGAAATACTCCCGAGTCAGCTCTCTGAGCATCTTGTTGAGTTGACACACTGGGGAGATACACCATATCTGGACATCTGGATCAGCTGAATAACATCCATCTCAGGCCACAGGCTGTAGGGCAGTTACAGTGCTGTGGACCCAAAGCCACCCACTTTCTAATCCCAGCTTCACAGCAAGGAGACTGAGTTGAGTTACTGTGAGCTCTTACCCTCTGCTGACTGTACCCTGGCTTTAATATTTACCCAACACTGAGCCCCAATGATTGTTGCTACTGTTTCTGCCTCACTCAGTTGTATTTGCTGAACACTGATGTGTTCACAGCATCAGACTGCTGGGACTAGAAAGAGAGCTTGGGCTCTGGGTCTTACCTATTGTGACCCATGGGATGATTTGTTTTCAAGATGTGTTCTCCATGTTACAGCAGTTCATGTAGGACTCTGATCACTCCCTCAGTTGTGTCTGTGTTCTATCAGTCACTTATGCCCCAAGTGGAGGAGGAGGAACTGATAGACTTCACGAAGTCCGCAACACAGTATTCGATCCACTCATAAGCTGCTCTGCTCTCCTTGCTGCCATAGTGGCGCTGGTGGGGGTGATTGGTACTAGTAGTGATGGCAATGATGATGAAGATTCTGCTCCTAATAGGGCTCGTATGGTAGTAGTAATAATAGCTCACGTATATTGTTTATGGTGTCCCATAATAGCATATAACATATGTTATCTCAATTACTCTTTAATACTTATGAGTATGATGAAAAGGAAGCTGTTAAGAGGCTGACATGTAGCTC